TGTCCAAATGTTCACGTTCAAATGTTTTTTTTTTTTTAGTAAAGATTTCAATGAAGTACCTATGAGATGGCAAAACTGCATAAATAGCAATGGTACATAGTTTGATTAAATAAACATGTTATATTTTGAAAAAAAAATACTTCAGGTTACTCCCTTACGAAACACCACTTTCATATGTTAAGACTTAATATTATTCAGACTTATATTTATAATGACAGCACCATTTTTGGCTGGTTATTTAGAAAAAATCTACCTTAATCTTGTAAACAAAAATAGTTTCTGTAAAACAAAAAAAAAATACACGGAAGAAAACCTTAATATCTTGTATTATTGCGCCGCCACGCAATACAACAAACGTCAATTTAATTTCTATATAGGTACTTGATTTCTCGAGTTCTCGACTTTTCTCGAGCTTGATTTCCCGGGAACAAAACCCAACGATTTCCCGGGAATTCTCGACCCGAGAATTCCCGGGAATGAACCCTAATCGATACTAATATTATAATTGCAAAGGTGTCTCTGCCTGTCTATTTGTTGACTGGTCACCACTAACGCGCTAAACGCATCTTAATAAAAGCCATGAAGATAGTATTACTAGGATGAACATTCAATATTTCTTACCTTAAATAATCTGCATACACAAAGACTTGCAAAAAGAAAACACCAGTTAACTTGATATTTAGGTAATAATAGTAAAAATTCTAATGAATGATACATATAAAAAAAACGAAATTTTATATAAGATAAAATGTAAAACTTATAACCATGCAAATTTCTGTAACAATCTCAACCACTTATTTTTAAAGTGGGTTGAAACTGTATTTACTGATAATTTGGATTTGGACTTTAAGTTTACTCTGTCAATAAACACAGAGTGGAAATAATATGCCGACCTAAAACTCTATGAAGTAGGAAGTTCTATTAAAGTAATAGCAGGTAGTATTCTTGATACAATTAAAATGAACAATAGTGTCTATCTATAATAATAACTATATAATTGAATACTAAAGTACCCGACATTATAGATAAACAAAACATATTCTAGGTTCTTTTTTATTACAGAACTATGCTCTTTAATCTAAACGGCCGACAGCTCAGAAATATAACAAATTTCTTAAAAACTGGTTAACACGATAAACGCTGTCCTGTCTGAGCTATAAACATTAAATTCTAAGTGCCAAACTCGGGAAGATTTTTTCTTTTATTCTTTTGTTCCGTAAGAAATTTCTACAGAGTGTTATAAACCTACAGAAACACAAATTATGGCGTAACCAATGGAAAAAGCTATTCATTCTTATAAATACAATCTATATTTATAAGAATGAAACCTCCTATGACTTCTGAAAGTCACACTAGAAAGAGGAGTAACGGGTTACATTACTAATAACAGAGCAATTCACACAGCGTCGTCTAGTCCTTAACTTAAATAAAGCTAGAACTGTGGGTCAAACAATTGATAAGAATAATAAAAATATATTTTTTTATGAATATAAAACACCTAGGTCAATAAAATGAATAGTCTAAGAATACAAATGTATGTCGTGCGGGGAATCAAACTCGCGATCATAGGAAGTGAGGCGATGTGCTAAACAGGGGTCCAATATCATTGAATTAGACTACAGATACAATATAGTAGTATACTTGAAACTGCATAAACAGTGTAAATGATTTTGATAAAACATCTGTACGTGGTGTGGTATGGAAAGATTGAAAATTAATCACTTTTAAGAGTTATATTTTCTATAGGTATTAAAGATAAATGAAGAATACCGAGTGTTTCACAGTGCATAATTGTATATTGAACTCTATGTGATTTGTTAAATTAATTGACCATTTTTGCAGTAATTGTCAGTGCACTATTGTCATGTTTATGTGAAAGGGGAAATACAGGAACAATGGATGTTTTATTTACTTGAGTCATTATTTTTTACAAGAATTGGGTATGTCTATGTAATTTCGGTTTAATTAATTATGTACTATGTCAGATGAGTACATCTGACATAGTACATATGAAAATAATAGGAAGTGTTTATTACATTTCTTTAGTTGTAAAATGAAGACTCAGTATTCCAAAAATCACCAGGTAGGTACTATTAATTCTGATAAGATTATTTTGGATATAAAGCATTAGTGGCAATGTCACCTGATCTTCAACTGTTTAAGCTGACTTTTTTGCATCATTTGATAGATCTAAGTGGCGTAAAATATATCTCATAACACGTACGGATTTATATATATATTTACATAAAACACAGTGCGTTCGTCCTGATTTTCGGAATTCGGTTGAATATATTGTACAGAGATGGTACACTAAGTAAGTAACATCTCGACGTAGATCCATAAATTAAAATTAATTTCCAGTATTAAAAAGACAGTGATCCGAATAGAGGTATCGTATAAGCGTTTGATAAATATGCCATTAACATTCCATGGTTTAGTAGTTGAGTGGGGAGCAGCCGCTATCTATCTTCTTTATTGGGATTAGGATATTAAACAACATAGATTAAAAAAAGACTTAAAAAGTTTTTTAAAGTATAGTTACTTTTGTGAGACCTACAAGAATTTTGTTTTTTTATGACTGTGTAATGTAAACGTCTGTTTTAGACCTTAGAGTTTAAAGTTCAGGTATTAGTAGATTTTTTATAAAGACTTTATAGAGAATTATTGAGAGAAGTTTGATCGTATTATAATACCTAAATCTTGAGAGCTGGAAAAAAGCGGATACAATAATTAAAACTTTTAAATAACCCTTCAATGCTGAATAACATTAAATATTCCAACAAAATATATGATTATTTACAAATTTATTATATACAAAATATTGAAGAATTTTATACAACACCATTGAAGTTACGTCCATCGCAGTCAAATATATGGACGGACTGTTTTCTTTTTAACAGCAGTAGTAAAAAAATAATTGAAACTTTATAAATTATCTTTATTTAACTACACCGCTCTCAGTAGGGAGTCTTTCTATATAACGCATTATTCTTGTAACGACAACAATGGACAAGAAGGGAGTGATAAATAAAATATAACTTTTATTACTTTAATTATAAACCTTATTGCTTACAAAATAAATCCGATAAAGTGCTCTGATATATTCTTTCAATACTTTGTTGTGGGTACTGATCGTAAACATTTTCCAATAACATCGCAGGGTGATTTATTCATCTATTCAGATGGCTTTAGACCCTAAACGGTGTATCATAAAAAAGCAGAAAATATATAAAGCACTGTTTGATCTACTAGTTGAGGACAACGGTATTTTTTAGAATTTTATTAATTTGTATTACGTAAAACTTATTCAGTAAACTTCAGTGATGATGGTGCCTTAAATACTACCTAATTTACTATACGTAGACTTTAAAAAGTCTTCTGCATGGATACCTACCAGTCTCACTTGTTTCAACCGTCAGTCAACTTACTTTGTAAGTTATGTTTAGGTTATAGGCTCATAGTACGCTAAGAAATGACAGACCGTAGTCTTCTGAAATGGTAACGCAATGATGTCTGTAATGCTGTTCATGTACATCTATAGTTGATGGTTACCGCTTACTATTGGGTTATCAGCTCTAATTAGATATTCCAATTACATTAAAAAAGAAAAAATAAACATTATTTTAATACAATAACAAATCAGTTTTTTATTTTCATCAAATACCTCTAACTACCTATATTTTTAACATTTTTGTACAAATAAATTAATAATAATAAATTAACAGTAATAGTAGTTTGAATTATTTATAAAATCATTCAATATAGGAGGACAGCGTTAGTGCTTATTCGTGTCACTCTGGACCACTCCCAGAAGGAGTGCCGTACGGTTCAACGGAAAGCGGCCGGAGGCTTTATTCCACTGGTGATTAGCTTCAACTCTTCTAGTGATTGTGAACATCGATCGTGAAAGCTGCGCTAGCACACTGTCAGAAAATTGTTCATTGCTCACTCATTGATTTTTCACAAGGTGATCGATTCAGTATAATTGATTCAGTCTGATCAAGAAGCATTTTTAAGAAAAGGATTGCTGCCTTTAATAGAAAAAAATCTTTATGGAAATATTTTCGCTATCAGCTTTTAACTAATCACAATTTCTACTTCTAGATATATCTATTAATTATGAAGTATTATTAAAATATATGTGATAATACTCACATTTGACTGAGCTCGGAGTCTGTCGCAATTCTTTTTACTGATATATAGACTAAATAATTTAAATATATTGGCTGTTTCTTGTAAAGACGGGATATTCAATTTATTCATTTAATTAAAAAAAATATATGGTAATTAATAGCACGCCCATAGTAGGCGAATAACAGCATAATTATCTAATAATCGACTCGTAAACTTGAAAGTTCGAATAGCACAAATTCGCAAGTGTGCTAGTAGCATTAAATACATCAATTTGATTCATAAATAAGCTTGATTGATTTGAGGCTCTTGTTAAATAAGTACATCAGTATCGTTCAGAGAAAGGCAAAGAAAGTGATTTTATAATGAACCTAGAATGGCGACTAAAAAGGAACGATAATGACTTTACTTGGCTTTTCTTTGATGTCACTTCAGTAGAAGCGATATGTTTTTTAAGTAAATGTTATTGATTGTGTAGTTTAATATATATATATAGCAAAATATGACTTCAGGTACGTGGTAAGGACTTTCTTTTTAACCAGAAATCTTTTTATGGCCGAGGTAGATTTTGTAAAATGCAAAAATGGTTGTGGCGTTACTAATGTACTTATATAGGGGAATGTTGCGAGCTAGGTGGGGTTAGAACTTAAAGTGAGAAGAAAATTGAAAAAAACTCATACTCTTAGACAGATTTTTTTTAAATGTGTGTATTTTACACGATAATCCCATTATTAGAGTAATTTATTACAAATATTGGAAACTAGATATCATTGAATTATCAAGAAATGTGTTTCTTCGATAGGCTTTGATAGTGACTACAAATGTTTTGTTTTGAAATACATAAATTAATCTGTCCGTCAATTTGCGCCATGAAGGTCGTCATAGTTCTCGCGGCAAGCATAGCATGTTGGTGATCATATAAATAAATATCTTTGTATATACTAAATCTGATATATTTTATTGTTGTTAAATTTAAAAATATAATTATTCATTACATTGTTTATTACTATGTTATGTGGTTATTACAATGAAGTCAAACAATGATTGTTCCAAGTGTGTGCTGGCAATGAAGTCCTGTCGGTTCCTGGTGATAACAGCCACTACATAGAGGGTGAGAGCCGCTTCATCTGGATGCCGGATGGGGACGGCGTACCTCTCTTGGTTGACCTTGAAGAGTCATTTGATGAGGAATTGTTGAACACACGTTACGGTGCCAATAATGAGTATTGGCTTTATACCAGGTACGTATACATATTATGACAAATTAATCTGTTATTTTAAGAAATTATATATACCTATTTTGGATGTATATATTCTTGAAAATTATTAAGAGACTAAAATGGAAACAAAGTATCTCTCCTCTCCTTATTTTCTTTTTAAGTAGGGGTTTCAACCCTTTAATATACTGCTATAATACAACATAAGCGCCTATGATACAATATTCTTTATTTCCTTTAATTTCAAAAATTATATTCATTACGATAAATGTTAAGAAGAAGGAATTATCTCTAAAAGACATCTCTTTCAATCAATCGCAGTATTACTGCGTGGTATAGGTAGTGTTAGTGAGATCATTATAGTGCAAATAATATTTTTATTTTTTCTAGAAAGAACCCGAACATTTCTCAACTCATTGTAAAAGGTAATGCAAACTCTGCTTGGAACTCCAATTATGCTAGTGGCAGACCTTTAAAAGTCCTTGTCCATGGATGGCAAAATAATGGAAACTCTTCTATGAATACTCTTATCAAATCTGCTTTTCTTGAAGAGCAAGACGCGAATGTCATTGTGGTAGATTGGCATGCTTTCGCTAGTTCAAACTATTTGACTGCCGCTGAAGGAGTGCCTGAAATTGGAGAGTATCTTGGAAATTTTCTCATCTGGCTTATAAATACTGCCGGCGGAAATTGGGATAATGTACATCTGGTAGGATTCAGCTTGGGTGCTCACGTTGTGGGTAATGCAGGCCGACAGGTTGACGGACGGGCGGCTCGTGTAACTGGTTAGTATTTACAAGAATATAAAAAATCGTTCACCTTATGTGAGAAAACTTAAATACAAAAAATACGTTTATTGTTTCAATCGAAACGCCACACAATCAATACGCGAGTATTACTATCCCATATTTTATGGTAAATAAGTTATCTGGTTTACAAAGTACTTTTTATGAAATAACAATGGAATCTTTTTTGAATGGGATTGGTTTTTTGTTCGCATTCGAGATGTTGAATTTTCCAATATAGAGTATATCAAATTTATTTCCTAGGTTTAGATCCAGCCGGTCCTAAATGGCATGGAAATAGCAAAGCGTTGAACAAACAATCTGGACAATATGTTGAAGCCATTCATACTGATGGAGGCGTTTTTGGTATATTGGAACCTATAGCACACGCTGATTTTTATCCCAACGGTGGAAAGAATCCCCAGCCTGGCTGCTGTCTGATGTCTACTTGCTCTCATAGTCGCGCATATGAACTGTTTGCGTCTAGTGTGCTTAATAATTCTTTTAAAGGTAGAGGATGCAAGGACCTCGACCAGGCAAAGAGTGTGAAGTGTAACGGTAGTATTTTCAGCATGGGAAATGGTATCATCTCTAAGAGAGGGTGAGATTTATACATGTTTTTAAATTTTTAATAAGTCTACATATTACTACTACTACTATATATATTCTGATAAAAGTCTAGATATTATACAACGAAATATTGACTTTAATTACTTACCAGTTTAACTATGTTCAAAAACATTAAAAAAATTTCTTTTTGTTTCTGTATCTAGATAATTAGCTATATTTTCCTATCAGATTTGCTATAACATGTATATATATATATCTTTATATATATATATATATCTTTTTTATATTTAATCCAATACAATTTCGTATCGTTATTCCGTTACGAAATTACCTGAATGACCATAGAATGGCGTCCAAACCAATTCTGTCTGAATAGTCTTGAGTTTTTGAAAAAAGCCGTTGAATTACTACCACTTATAATATTGAGATAATGTCAACTAGTTTTCCAGGTTTGATGTTTCTATAGTTTTCTCTAAAGATGAGACTGATTAGTTTTTTATCTAATAATATTAATTTACACATATATTATATTTGCTATTGCATGTTTTTCAGATTCGGCATCTTTGGACTCAAAACTGGTTCGTCATATCCGTTTTTCAACTCTACCGCTCATACTGTGATTCATGTAAAACATTTTAGTCACATATACACATCAGTTTTTTTATATAGTATTTTTAATTCTATGGTTCAATTTTAGTTGAGAAGAACTGGCGAGAAACTTGACTGTTTTTTAAAGTAAATCTGTGAATATAATTTACTTTCTGGATGTATACGTATGTTGTTAATTTATAACGCTATGCCCTTATGTTATTTAAGTACTCATTTAGTGCAGGGATGAGCAACACGCAGCCTGTTTAACATGTTCTTGCGACCCGCCAAGCATTTATATAATTGAATTAAATTTTTTGTATATATCCCATCAATATACTGTTATAAAATTAATTAGAATAATATAGTAGTACATACTAAACTGAAACAATTTTTTGTGACGAGTCACTCATATACACTCATAAGAGTACTAACTAATCTACGACTTGTTCAAACATGCAATATGAATATTTGCACGATCTATGTGCAAACATTCATATTGTATGTTTGAACATGCAATATGAATATAATATTATAAATAATTTTTTGTACATTATTAATAGGTAACTGCCCATCTTACAATTAAAAAAAATATTCTTTGATTACAAAGGTTGCTCACCCATGGTTTAATGAGTTTTTTGCTTTGTGAATTTTATTAAAAGTTATTAAATCAAGAGTGAAAAACAGTTCCTCGTTTGAAAAAATATATATATCTGATAAATAATTATATACAATTAAATAAAAATACAATTTCAACTACACCCCTTTGTTCCTAATATTTCTATCACAAAAGAATTCTTGTTTATTATTTTTTTTCACGAAATTTTTAATATGTAATTATGTGATTAATTATAATTAAATTATTAGATAATTTAAATTTAATATTATACGCATGAATAGATTATAATAAAATGGAAAGCTGATTAAGCACTGTTATCAAAAATTATTAATTTGAAAAATTAAATAAATAACAAAAATGGATAAATAGCAATGAGAGATATTCGCACCTTTAAAACAGAGATTATTTGCAGTTCTCGTTGTGTCTAGAAGATTATGTATTCTACTTGTTAAAAATACGTTTTTGTTTCATAATATATATACTAAATATAAAATAGGTTATATGTATTTATACAGTTATATTGATGAATGTTTAAATATAACTTTTCTCTTTTATTGCATAATGTAATAAAAGAAAAAGTTATATTTAGCAATAGCCAATAAAAGTATATCTATCTGTCTATTATTTGAATTCTTGCAGTATTTTGTTCTTTTTTTAAATGAACAAAACAACACAAAAAAGGGTGAGGAATTTGCTGGTCATTGGAGATTACGTCAAGTCGACCCCTAAATAATGAATGTAAAAGTGTTTCATCGTTTTGTCAAAGACCTTGTCCTATGTTTCATATACGTACATAACATGTAACAAGAGACGACATCAATGGGACGATATTAAACTATTTTCTAATAAACTGTGTCCGCCAGATACATGTTGTCAACACGTGTACCGTTCATTTGCAGTCCTGCAAATGCGATCTTTGAATGACTGTATATATCTATCTTTGTATTGTCTTAATAATATTTATATTTTCATTCCAAATTGTGTTGCTAATTCAGTTTGTCTCTGAGAAATGATAAAGAATAAGTAGGTTATTGATTATTTTTTTAATTAACTGGATCATTATCAAAGTCATTTCGAATTGTTATCTACTCTTACTTACCTAAGATGTATTTTGCAAGCGATAATAAAAATATAATATGGTAATATATAAGTAGGTATCTAAGAAAGTTCAGTGAACGACAGTTTGCTCGTAAATAACACTTTAAAGTGATAGCATTATGATCTTGAAAATTAAAACAATAATTTTCATTGTATAATATATGTTATATATAATAATAAAAATGGAACTGATCGCTGTCTATGGACGATATATGAGAAACTAGACCTTATATGAGGGTTCTTATCGATGTACATGTAATAGAAATCAAAACTATGATTATTATATTTTTTGCCTGTTCGCGTATAAACGTAAATCTCGCTCGCTAATCTCAGAAACGCTTGTCACAATATATTGTGGTATGCGTCATTTAATAATTTATTTTTATTTAATACAGATTACATCCACATGTGTTATTAAACAACTTACAAACTAAGTTAGTAAATTGTAATATATGGAGATATGCTCTCACTTCATATTGTATCTACGAGTATGCCCACGTCCAGAAGCACTGGGTCCGCAGTGCAACGATATCCAATGCTTCTGTAGCGAACAATCTGACATATTTGCAATAGTTGTTAGGAAGCGGTTTGCTATTCATTTTGTATAATTTATATTTATTATATTATTATATTTCGGTTTACAATCGAAAATGTTGTACAAAGTCGCGGGCATAGCTAGTTTTAAAATACGGTTAACATAAGTACAGTTATACGGGTGGTAATATTACACGGCTCGATAATCTCGCTTCATAACTGTCACCTTTTAACCCAGTTCACAATTAAACATCTCGAGATGATAGCAACATTATTAACAATTGAAATAATAACTTTATACTCACAGTCCAGTAAAAATCCCTCACGTATCACAACATGTTTTATATTTTCAGTAAAAGATTATTCGATATTAATAAATAATTGATTAAAATTTTAACAATAACAACACATTTAGATATTTTTAGACAAGAAACACAACTTTTTTATTTTTTAGGAATGGCAACACTCGATGAATGGCAATGTATGATGCACCTGTCTGCGCTACGGTATACGCTGGTGGTGCACCAGTGACGATGGTGAGGTCAGTTAGCTGATCGCGACAAAGTAGTATAGTTTAGTGGTATATCTATACTAATATTGTAAAGTTGAAGATTTTGTTTGTTATATTAAACACACTAATCTTAACAACTATTAGTTCGAATTGAAATACTTTATTAGTATTGAATAGTCAGTCCATTTACAGAGGAAGTCTATAGGTATAGCCTATAAGCAATAGGGACGAAGGTAGAAAGTATTGAAAAAAAAACGGAAATATTTATTTCTTTTGAGAGGTTTTCTCTTTTATTTGATGGAAACGAACTCGGGTCAATTAATAGCTATATATATATAATATAATTACCATTTTCAGTAGGTCTGAGAATCGACAACTATCTATTTTTCATACATCTAAGTGATAAGGGGTTGTCCACCTAACATATATTTCATGGATGAAATTTTTATTTTTAATATATTTGCATATAAAAATACATAAAACCCTAAATTTTAACCCTTCTACCATAAATCCCTATTTTTTAATAACGATTTTAATTCATATGGCAATACACCGTTTGTGGGGTCAGCTAGTATAATTATATAATATGTACTGATAAATGGAAGGTCAATGAAGACATTTATTATAATTATCGTAGGCCTAAAAATTCTGCATATTTAAAAAGATATAATAATTTATAACAAATTTACACAACTGAGATAAAGCGCAGATTGAAGCTGGAATGGAATAATCTAATTATAGAGTTCATTATCAATTTGTTATTGTTATGTCTAATTAATTTGTTTTTCTTATTTCAGTATCAAGGTTTATTGTAATATGCATACATGTTTTAAACTTTGAAATACTACGTATTTATCAATACAGAGAAATCAACACTTTTAGAGATAATTAATTTGCACAGGAAATTGAAATCATTTACGACTACAAGTTTACAGGGGTTTAAACCTTGAATAACATTATATCATATTACAATTACATATTTGCCTCTGTTTATTTATTCAATTAACACCAAACATGTTTATATTTTAAAACTATTATACTTAACTCTACACACTAGTTAACTAAATAAAGACAGGAACATTCTTATTTTATTTATTATAGAAGGCAAGGTTTCTGTGTGCACGTCAGCATCTTGGACCTTACACTAGTTGTCTTGGAGTCAAAGGATCTTGAAAGAGAGTGTACAAAACATGACCCTGTGAATATATAATATATACCTTTTTCGATATACAACCGTGAACATACTGGTTCCGTGTTCATAATAATAACAATATTAATAAGTAAGCTAGCTAAACAGAGCTTTTATTGTGTATACTTTCTAGATAACTGAAGGAAATATTTGATTACATTATTTTTTATCACACATAAATACATACATAATATACCTTAAGGCCACCGTTGCCTCAAGCTTTGTGAAATTATGATTATTAGTTATTATAAAATTGTTATTAGTTAGGTCAATATAAAATTGACTTATTTTTGACAAAATTAGTAAATACCTGTAATTATTTTAATTATGAAAAAACAAAACCTATGTTAGGTTTAGTATTTTCATAATCAAAATACCTAATCTACGTATATAAAAATTTAAAACACAAAAATATAGCTTAGTAGGGATCTTTAGTTTTTATGTATCTTTCACATTTGAACTTACTTACTTGGCGTCAGGATAACAATCACTAGGCCTCGATACTCTCAAAATCTAATTTAAAAAACTTCATTCTAAAGTCAATTAACAATATTTTAAATGTGACATAATAATGTCAGACGGTTATTACTTATTTATTATGTTTATATAAATTAAATCTAAGTAATGATAATATAAATTATGCAACTTTATTAATTACTTAATAATTTTTTAACACAATTTGTTGTAGCCATGTTTTAATTACAACAAAAAATGAAAATAAAAACACATCCGGGTACTGATAAAAGAATTATTATGAGGTTTTCTTTTTATACTACTTTTATACTGAATCAATTTTATACACCTACTGTGTTATATTCCATATTTTTTATAAATAATAAGTGTGACTTCAGATGCCAAGGTAATGTCAAATAGCTCACAGACTATCTGTCTATACATACGAGTTAAAAAAAATCGGAGCGCAAGTTGAGAGATAGTATGGCCATGAAATCAGGTCAGTTATCTCATCGTAGCGAATTCATCAGAAATTAACCATGTTTCAGGGGTGATCACATGGTGCTTCTTCTTCTTTGTCGATACCTCAAGGCTGAGGGTTGTGACCACTAGGAATGCTTCTTACAACCAAATCTCTCCAGGCTTGTATCCTGTGCTAAGTGGACCGCCAACGGCATGTTTCGCTTGACGGCATCTCGAATGAAATGAATCCATCAGATAGGTGCTCTAACGCTTCCCCTTTTTCCCTTCACGTGATCTACTATTATATATTCTCGTGGCTCTTATAATACTTATTTAAACAGGATGAAGTCGACGTTGTACTTACAAGTTATCTTACCCCTGTCTAACTTATTTAGCATACGCCAAGAAACTTTCTTTGTAATTGTAATTTGTATTTGTATTAGACGGCCACGGAGGTTTAGCATTTTCGTCTGCTAGTCGCGGGTTTCGATTCCTTGCGCGGTACAAACATTTGTATTCATGAGTATGATGTTTGTATCTGTTTGGGTGTTTCCTAACTATATTCTGAGTAAAAAAAGTATCTAAGTATGTATATATAGTATCCATAACACAGCTCTGCTTAGCTTAAAACTTGATAGCTTTGTGTTTATTGTCTGTCGGTAATAAAGGATATTATTATTATTACCGTTGATGGCCAGAGCAGATAGATATGAAAATGAAATTACAGTGAACGGAGGCGTGGCATCTTAGTCCTTTAAAATGGGAGCGCTATGGGATTCCATAGAAATCGGGTTCGTTATTTCACTCTGTAGAAACTAACGAATAGATAAGACCTTGATATTTTTAGGAAGATGAGCTGCAGTAATATAGGAAGAGGACTTTAGTAAGGTCGGTTACTCGTCGTGAAATTGGTTGTGTTTTTATAACGTGTCTCTTTACTACTTAAATGGTAAGAACATGAATAGTCAATCAAGTGTTGTCATTGAAATGACGAGACAGTCAAAATAATAAGACGGGAGAGGTCAAACTCAGAAAAGGAATTATTTATGTCAGATGAATTGAAAATCTACTTGCTCATCTACATACGTATAATAATTTACAAATATAATTTACCTTTGTAACTTGTGTTCGATTTATGAATAAATAAAATTAAAATTTCCTTTTATTCATCATATGTTGTAACAAAACATCAAGTGGTGAAAATATGGCATTATAGCTATATTTTCTTAGCTGTATTTCAAATAAACTACTTCGATTTAAAATAAATGATTAAATTTAATATTTAACGGAGAATCAACTATCGCTTAAGGTTAAAGATTTTCTGTTTGCATATCCTTATAGGTATACAATATACATGTATATACTATATATAATATATATACTATATATTTTGATATGTTTATTATTTAAACTTAAGCAAATCACGAAATCTTACCATGTTTCATTAATTTTTATTGAATGTCGAGGATTCAACAAACAATAAATTTTTATTAATTAATTTTTAATGAATAAAGAACTTTTAGTTGATAACTGAATAAAAATAAATATTTATTTAAATAATACATTTCGCTACAGATAGATATTGTAATAATAACCATTTTATGTTTTAGATTTATCATCATCAACATTCTCATACCATCATCATTAACATTTCCATATCATCAGCATCAAAACCACCAACATCTTCATTGTTTGTTATTTTGTTTACAAAACAAAACATCGTCATCGTTGTTTTGTTTTGTTCTTTTATTTTTATTTTATATTGTTTTTGTTTGTCATTGTTATTCTTTTATCTTCTCTTGTATTCATAATAATATCATATTTATAGAATATATATGTTACACCTAACAAAATCATAAGTTTATAAATCCATATCAACTCTGCAGAAGCGAGCGTAAACCACAGGCGCAAACGCTGAAGCATAAAGATTACAAAAACAAAATCTCATATTTAAAAAAAAATTGTTAACCAGGACATTGTTCTACTCGCACTGTATCAGGTCGAGTCGAGGCGGGCGCTGGAGCGGAACGACACTCGATACGGTGTCGATCGACCGTCATCAGGTTACCAATGCACCAACTCTCATTTCCCTCGTCCAATCCATTCACCATAGCAATTTGATTCTTGTTACAAAGTGACAAGAGCGAAAGTAGATCTAAGTAATGAGCAAAGTAATATGGTTTATATGTAAGATCGTGTTGGCGGCGAGCCAGAACTATTTTGCCTAGATAATCTAATGTCACCGAATAGTCGATAGTGACAATAAAATTGCTACGTCAAATCCAGTACAAGACGGTGTCAAGTCTTTGATGTAATGTAAGATTTTTTTTATATTTTTGATGATATATAGGTATATAAATATAAGAACTTTATTCCACATTTTTATCCTAAGATACATGACAAAATTACCAACCGAAACAATTTACTATAGATATGTCGGAAGCTCTATATATATATTGTATAAAATATATATATGATCTAAAATGTGATCTAAAAAAAAGTAGGTACTAGAAAGTTGAGGGATACAAAATTTCATTATGACGCCCGTAATATGAATTTTGTTACCTTAGTAAAGAGGATTTCGAAGAAGATTATATATGTATATGATCATAAAGAATTTAATACAATATATCAGATCAAAATATGGTGAAATTTAGCTGTTCCGAGTAAGGATAGGAATATTGCTGTAACCCTATTGCACCTAGCTTCTAATAATGTTCCCACAGATAAAGAACATGTGTTTTCGTGAGTGAAAGCAATGCTATTGTGGCTACAAGCACATGCCATTTGAAGACGTTCATGTTAATACATAGAGAAAGGTTAATGTCCTAAGACTTCACCTAGGTGCTAACGATATGTGTTCAATATAGTCACGACTTAGAAAATGGCAAGTAGCTAGTCTTGTTTGTTATCATAAATGTATTATTTACTTACAAATATGTTAATAATGTATAAGGTATAAAAGTGTAGCAATAGACATGTTCGAAGTTTTATAGTCAATTTCTTTTTGTATTTCAGTTTAGGGGTATAGTTTAGGGGGGTCCGGCGGGGGTTGGAACCACACTAAGGGTCTGGCAACGAGCAGAGCAAGTTTGTTTTTGAACAGGACCGTTCATATCCAGAAGGCGGCTGGTTCTAAATGTATAAGCCGTCATTGTAATTACTTGTTAATTAAAAAAAAGGGGAACGACCATGTTTTTGATAATAAATAATACTTATGGTATTATTTATTCTCAAAAACATGGTTGGTTCACTAAAATGAAGATACAGATTTATATAATAAAAAAAATATTTAATTAGTAATTTGTAAGCAGTTATTGTTATTACCTGTTAGTTAACAAAACTTATTTGTTATCTTGGTGTATCATAAAGTGGACGTATTGTTGTAATGCTCTTTATATAAATACGTTTAGTTTACCGATTTTAATGTTATGTACCAATAAATTCCATAAATACCAGTAGGTACATTAAATTTCTATTGGAATAGAGTGAAACTTCTAAAAGATGGTTGCCGTCTTATACGACCACCCACCATGTATCTATTCAAATCTACTGTTTCATTTGTCACTTGCTAGCACAATCATTTAATTTTGCTGTTACAAGTAGGTAATTCAATATGAAATACTTCATACTCATGATGTTGTCTGTACCTATAATATACAATTGTAATAGCAGGTTCTAAGGCTCTGATTGGATGTGACGAAATCATTAAAGAATTGTATTGATTCTCTATAACGAACAAAGAAATTAAGACTTTCCTCTTTATTAGTTTACATGTGTAAATAATATTATGAACAAAATATACAGAATCCCATGTAACTCTCTTCATAGACGTTCGCTCCTGATGATGGTCCTTGTCTGCTAATTATTTATTCCATTACGGAACTCAAAAAGTTGGTTTTGTTGACTTTCACGGTAAATTGATTTGGTCGTGCGGTACTCAGTAGTGCATTAACTGGCTTCATTTAGTTTCCTGGTTGGTCGTGATTTTTTATCATTGAATCAAGTCGAGACGATGATTTTGTTGATTAATCTATTGTCTGCGAACTCGCTGACCGCTTGATATTGTCGCTTCAAATAAATTTTATTGTGGATCCATAAAGTTCTCGAAAACAGAATGAAATAAAAATTGATGGGAAGATTGATTTTCCCGACACAATGTTGTATAGATTCATATAGATTCTTATATTATGTTTTTTACGTAAAGTAACAGGTGATATCTCTGAGGTCTTACTTCAAACATTTAGATAAAGATACTAGCACAGATAACATAAACTAGTAATATATAAATCAAAGTTGCTATTTTTGTCGATTCATATTCATGCATTTTTCATTATTTTAGAACGGATTTTAATACGGGTTTCATTTTTAAGTATAATACTCGTATATTCATATATAGTACTTATACTACCTCCGGTATATACTTTGTACGTCCGTGCGAAGTTGAGGTGAAATACTATCACGATCGATACTAATATTATTGTAATAATGCGAAAGTGTATCTGTCTGTCTGTTACTCTGTCACGATAAAAATGCTGAACGGATCTTAATGAAACTTGATGTTAATATAGTTTGCATCGCAACAGACACTGGATTTACTAAAAAAAAAAGCAGACGAAGTCGCGTATAACTGTTATACAGTTAGTAATTTAAACTTTAATGTGTGATCGATATCCGATATACGATGCTTAAGTATTTATAAAATTAATTAGTACCACTTACACCGTGTCTGGTAATCGAGAGCGTTCACTTTTTCAGTGTGATGCAACGCACTAGTGGCAGCTTTAAAGTCTGTGAGATACTTCAGGCGTTGAGATACGATATGTTCATATTTTATCAATAAATCTTGGCCTTTTTCAGTCCAAAACGTCAAGTATGCTGTAATTATTAATAACAAAATAATATATACGTTTGTCTACGGTACATTTGTGATTGTTTCTGACCGATACATTAGTCAGTAGAAAAAAGTTTATAATGAAATATCCCGTTGTGAAATATCAAGTTGTGTGATTTTTTAGTTATATTTTCATATATATAATAAAATTATAAACTATTGTAGTTATATTATATTTGTACATGTGTTTATTTCAATTCAGTCAGATCCCAAAAAAAGTTCTAACCTATTGTTATTAAGGGAACTAAGAGTACATTGTCGGATGTAACATAGTCCAGTACTGTTTAAATTGCTCGTGTTAAATAAATATACATTTGTCACGATGGCCTTATTGACCTGATTCATCATTATCTTTATCTATAATCCTCCATTACTGCTCCGCCAGCGTATAAGGTTAGCTAACGGAAGCACCATTTTATAATCATCTATAAAAAAAACTCCTAAATTATATTATCTTGTAAAGAGGATAACTAAATTTATTGTAAGTTGTATGTACGCATGTTACGTGACCTATTTCACATGAGCGGACACCGCGGTAAAGCTGTGTGCACGAATAACAAGCTCACACTTTTGAGTCACAAACAATCTCAATTTGGTTCTAACTTCTAACATGGCCACGTTCAATGAACCTGTCCATTAAATTTTCTACATAAATATATAACATCAGTATGTGTAATCTAAATTTTTAAAACAGAACACTTCATATGTATGTAGTATGTACTTTGCGGTAGAACTAGGCATTTCCTATCAATTAACAGTTTAATTAAAAAAAGAAATGAAATTATTCAATTTAATAATTACATATAAGATCAGGTATAACAGCATATTAATTTTCTCAAGCTGTAAGTTGATGAAGATGTATACCTAACCTATGTAGTCTTTGCTTGAGAAAATTTCACATTCAGGTCTTAAGTACTTCGTAGAGCAGACTAGCATTGTGATTTAAGTGTCTTACGTAAGCTACTTTGACAGACGATAGAGCGGATATAATATTGTTTTGTTAACCACGGTTCTTCCGTGTGGTAACATATTAAGAATACAATGTGCCACTTCTTCTTTCATCCTAGGGCTGTCGTAAGAGCCGACTAGGGGGCCAATATGTCCATAAATGTTAGAATAATAGAACGAAATCTAGAAATAAAACTCTACGCAAACCATCTGCTCAGATTGTAGCAAGCTGGTCAATTGTTGATGGTAGCAAGCTAAATTCTTATGTTCTCATTATAATCCCCTGTAATAAAGAGGGATAATGAGTTTTTTTTTTTAAATGAAGATGCTGAATCATGATTTGCTGAATTGATTCTAATTATCTATGGGTAGAGATGAGATTAGATTAATTTTGTATAGATATTGTCAATACAGATTATCTAGATAAATTATCTTTTTGTATTAATCGTATTCATCAAAATTTCTAAACTATAAACTTTACTCTCTAGACAAGATCTAGTATCTTTAATAATAGCAATTACTATAAAGTGTAACGTTATTATAAATGGCTTGTAATACGTTTTACTTTTTATACGAACAAAAAACAATCGACCTTTACTGTGGTAAACAAAAATTCTACCATATAGATTTGAACTATATACATTGCTATTGTATTATTATATGGACTTGAAAACGTTACCATCAAGTAGTCAATGAATTTTAAATTCTTAAAACATTACTACTGACAATAATCGTGATACTAATTCACCGTCTGGCGTCGGTCTAGTCCACGGAGTCAATGTCTGCGGTCTACTTTCTCAGTGAATTCGCGTCATATAATTTTTTTGTACTGTTATTGGACAAACTGATTGTTATTAAAGAACGGACAGCACTATTATTTCCGTTATATGTTAATTATATTCTTTGAAGAA